TTTGTGTGCGAGTCCGCCGAGGACGCCATCGTGATCGCGGCGAACCTGTACCAGGCGCTGCTGGAGAACATGCGCAGCGAGGCGCCCAGCGAGGCCTCCAGCGACCCTCGGGACGATGACAGGCACGTCATGAGTGACAGCGAGATGGTGCCCGTGCGACCGCCCAGGAAGAAGCGCACGCACAGAAGTGACTCGCCAGGGTTCGGCAGCGGCCTCCGTCGGGCGAACAGCGAGGACATTCTGCAGACGCACATCGTCCTCGACGAAACGCGCGCCAGCAGGCGCCTCAAGCGCTCCGTCAGCGACCGACAGCCAGGTGGGTTCTTGATTGACCCGGGCGATGTGTACACGAGGGTCGCCTTGCCGCGCTCCAAGTCCTTCATGAACGTCACAAACAAATATAACTTCCAGGACCTCCTGGACGACGTCAAGCAGAAGACAGGGCTGAACAGCGTCGACGAAGTGCTCAAGCAAGTCATCAATCCGAAGGGCATGTCCTTCAGCGAGATGGACCCTGACCATCGGGAGATCCTCCTCAAGCTTGCCTTAACGCTGTCCAAAGACGAGATTTACCAGCGGTCCAAGAACATCATGAAGAAGCAGAGAGGCCGAAGCGCGTCCCTCATGAGCCTCATGGACTCGGACAGCGACGGCTCCACGATATCGTCCGTCCTGAAGGCCACGAAGCGGTCCTTCTCTCGCCTCGGCTCGCGCGCCTCCAGCCTTCAGTCTTCTTACCTGAAGGACAAGTCGCCGCTGCGGAAGTTCGTCAACAATAAGAGCCGCTACTCCTTCGAGAGGAGCGGGCGAGACAACGGCTCGGCGAAGCGCCCTGAGAACAAGGAGAACGAGCTCACGCACCTGCTGGAGGGAGGAGCCCGGAAGGTGGCGCCCAAGACCCCGATGCCAAAGCGCAACCCGTCGCGCCAGAACGAGGGCTACGTGTCGTGCAGCGAGTGCGGGTATGACAGCGAGTGCTCCAGCAAGTGCTACTGCTCCCTGCCGCGGCGCCCTCCGTCCGCGAAGCCCGCAGGGGACCACGTCCACAAGGGCCACGACTCGCCTTGTGACTGTGATACGGAGAGTTGTGCTGAGAGTGAAAAGTGTTACTGCTCCTTGAAACGCGTGAAAAAGAACGGCCTCAAGATGTACGAGATCAACCTCGACTCGGAAACAGACACGAACACGGACGCGACGGGACACACCGCCGCCTCCTACAAGAAGGGCTTCGGCTCGCACTCCAACCTGAGCGAGCTGGAGTCGCACGCGACGTCGTGGAAGCGCAACACGGGAGGCTCCTCCAGCAGCGCCGCCAGGCATAAAAGCTCGTCCTCGTACCTGACGGAGCACAGCAAGAGCCGCTCTGCGGGGACCGTTTTCTCCATGCACCCCGAGGTCATGAGGAAGAAGAGCCTGTCGTCCAATCTGTCTTCGGACTCGGAAATGTCGGTCGTGCACCGGTCGTCGGGCGGCTCCGGCTACCACAGCCAGAACAGCGGCGACCGGCGCCTCCCGCTCCAGCAGAGGACGCAGAGCACGGAGTCGCTGCTCATAACGCCCCGCCTGCGCCGCCACCCGTCCGGCTCCCTGGGCTCCGGGGGCTCCCGCGGCTCCGGCGGCTCGTCCCAGGGCAGCGGCAGCGCCGCCGGGTCACAGCGCTCGCGCGGCTCTGCGAGCTCGCAGCAGAAGATCCTGCTGGTGTCGGCCGTGGATCCCTCCGGCAAGGTGGTGTACCGCGGGGCGTCGCAGCGGCAGCAGCGCGAGGGCAGCGACACGGCCTCGATCCTCTCCATGAAGAAGACGGCCGAGATCGCCGCCCTCTTCTCCGAGCTCAAGCTGAACCAAACCACGGACCTCATCGACCACCTGAACCAGTCGGCGTCGGAGTCCGAGGACGACGCCTACTCCTCCATGCAGGCCAACAACTCCTTCCTCTTTTCCGACAACATTGAAAACTCTCTCGGATACCTGCCGTGAGCGCCAAACAGCGCGTGAATGTGTGTGTATTTGCGTGTACGTGACAGATGGCGCCCGTGACTTCACGACAAGAGACGGTCGACCATCTGGGGCGACCAAGCCAGCTGCAACCTGAACTTTGGGTCAGCTCGACAGTGTATTGTGTTGATAGTCTTCAAAGTGCAAAATCTCTTAACTTATATATATATATATTTTTATCTATGTGGACTGACATCAGCATTGAAGCTATATTTCAATCGTCTTTGTATATAATGATAGGAATGTGCAATCTGATTTTCCTTTTACATTATAACTAATATAATTCTTGTGTCAATCTTCATTTCAAAGTGATTTAAGATTTTTTCAAGAAAACATTTCAATGATAGTTTATATATACATGTATATTATAATAATGTCTGATATCCGTCTGTTCTGCATGGTATATGCAGTTTTATCTATTTCATGTTGCGTAATCAACATAACACAGGGGTGAAATTACATGAATTTCTAAAAACAACATGCAGATATAGGTTGTTTCTTCTTCATGCTAAAATAGGTCACTCTCGATGTGGCTCATACTACACAACGCCAAATCACATCACCACATAGATTCACGTATTCCTCATCATGCCTTTTACGCTCATCACATAACCACAAAACTTCGAGTAGGACTGGAAGGCTTGGCAGCTGATCAAACAACCCAGGCTGAGAATGATTTGTTATTTCCACGCCATTCACGCACACATTTTCAAATCGAAGCGTTTCACATGTCAAGGCCATATTCCATACAGTTTATAATTACATTCCCCATACTCTCATAATCACCTTCGTAAGGATATAGAAGTCCCTATTGTGGTTTACATTTTACATGAATATTCATTTCGTCTTTATACATAGTCCATATATACCGTTTGGACAATTGACTAACCGCAGTGACGCTACGGCACCGTGTCTCCCAAGCCAATGTCTCACGCCCACGCCAGGTTGAAATAGCCTCAACTGTTGCCAAACATACCAGCGGAAGTATAGAAATAGCAAGGCTGAAAACTCCGTCCAGGTGTGCTAGTACCGATGAGTCAGGTGCGCGGAACCGCATGCGGAAGTGAGCGCTGATGCGAGAGATGACTCGCACTTCGAGTACTGGATCTCGTCCTCCACGCGAAGGGAGAGACAGTACGACTTTTTTCCCCCTATCGAATGCTTTACTTTTACTCTGTGGAGGATAGTTAAGAAGAAAAAAGGGTATCTAGACTGACTAGGTGTTTATAGGCGCCGTCGGTAGCCAGTATGTCATTCATTTTAGCATTTCCTGTGTAGACATATGGAAGCAGGCGGAGGTGGTTCCCATACGTGTGGTACGCACTCGGGTGTGGAATTTCTCAGCTGTTCTCGTGGATATGCTTCTTTTGGTGCGGGTTCTACAAGGGTTCCACTGCTGTAGGTTGGATGAGAAGTGGTGTTCTGTTTTTTTCCCGCTATTTCTTCGTTTTTTTTGGCGATAATGCTTGCAAGAAAATCAAACTAATGTTGAGTAATATACCATTACTGAACTGCTGGGCTAAACCAAACCAAAATTGAATTAAATACAAAAAAGTGGGCGTCACTCATAAGCGCTTTGCATGGTCTTCAAACTGCACTTACGCATGTGAGTTTTAAAGACTTGATGAGAATCGTGAGTTAATAAGATATGTAACGGAGCGGAGCCATGTCGACGCCGACGCCATATGGTCCTCGCGGCCCGCTTGGCCACCGACGGTTCCCAGTCCCCGCTCGCGCTCCCCGCAGTCTCTCATCTTTTAATTTCCATCTTGCGTTTCGTCGGAAATAGCTTATAAGAGGCTCTGAACCGACGCTATCAATTCCAGGCATCGGCGGCTTCCCGAACCCCACGAGGCGTTCGAGCGAAATGTTGACGCGGATTCGATTCGGTCGAGCGCGAGCGGCGGCGGCCCACTCGCCAATTTCTCGCGCCCGCATTTCTTTGCCTGCTGATGAAACGCTCCTAATCCCAAAGGCAACGAATCGACGGCACACAAAGCAACTCCAAGCTCCTTTCGCGGCCAAGCTCACGCTCTGAGCATTTAGCTTGATGCTGACGGTTTCCCAGGCGCGCTGACGTGCTTCGTTCAACTCTCCCGCGATTCTTTTACTTTTAACGGGACAATGTCCGCGTGCACTGTAGTGTGTATTATAGTGTGTATCATAAGATTAGACGCCTTACAGTTGCACAGATGCACTGTTCACAGGTGCTGTTGCAGTCGCAGTTATCGTGACGCATTATCACGGGGGTCACTTCTATCCAACCGTCTTCCATTTTCTTCTCTATCTGACATGTATCATCTTATTTTCCTCCGATTCTGTGCTCTAAAGTTTCCGTAAAAATATTGCCCCTTCTTCTCCCCCAGGGGTCTCCCTCCCCCTCCTCCCTCCTGCCGCCCGCCCGCCCCTCGCCCGGGCAGGCCAAGGGCCCTCACTGCCGAATTACCGCGCCAGGTAGTGCGGCAGTGAACTTCATTCCGAGGGGGTCAGTGCCAGGTGAAGCCGCTTCCCCCTCAACGGGACGCGGGAAGCGGCTCTCAGTTTCTGGAAGCTTCTCGTCATGCGGCAGTCGAAGTCACACGACCGGCGGCGCAGTCATCGTCGCCGCCCTCGCAACTGCCGCCTCAGTCACCATCATGGTGATCGGCGTGGCACTGCAGGCGCCCTCCATCCGGTCACGTGGCATAGCGCTGGCGAGGCACCCGTGTGTCACCATCGTCATCAAACAGCAGTCATCATCACGGTCACATCATCGTCATCACAACATAGGCCTCACATCTCACCACTCTGAGCCACATAAAGTAGGACTGACCTAATATTCGCCGTCACGCTCGATCACGATAAGCGAAAACAACAATAACAAATCATTTTCCCAGCACGAGGTTTAGCCCCCGTCATCCTCCTCCCTCCCTCCCTCCATCTCTCCATCTCTCCATCTCCTATTCACTCACCCTGTACCCACACACCCCGCTTCCTACCTCTTTCTGTACCCAATCTCCCTCTCT